CTTGAATGGTGTTTTACAGCTTACAGATCGTTTTCACACATATTAAATCTATTCAATCCTTAGAGGCACTCACTTCATTTTGCCCCAGTTATTCCTCCCCATTTAGTTTTATATCTCTCTTATATTTCTTCATCCCTTTCCTCAGATCTTTAGTGTGTAGAATATTGTGTAGGTGCTTTGGTGGGGTGGGTGAGAGGCTGATTGGAAGAGCAGGTAGGTGGGAATGAGGTAAGACTTTAGGTGCAGACATGTTTCCAGTATCCTACACTTTAGGATCAAAGGATAAGTTCTTACAAGACATACTGTCTCTTAGGAACGTACAAAGAGTTACTTGAAAAGGAGAAGTGATCATTCATGTATCCATCACTCGAAACTGGGTTGACACTAAACACAGGGTTAGAGGTTTCCAAGTCCTTCTGGCCTCCCTTCCAATTGGCAGTTAGCACACTGGATGTGTTGAAGAGTGATGACTTGCTTCCACCCAAACACACCCATGTCTTCTATTCCTAGCATATAAGTTCCTCAATTGCATTTCCTCTTAGATTTTGTGATACCAAGTACTGGACAAGAAACAGAACACACAAAACTAACCAGAACATTACTGCTTCAGTCTCAAAGCACAGTGTCATTCTTTATTCTTTTTCATGCACACCCTGGCTTCTAGGCAGAAATACCAATGGGTTTTCTGCAGTAGACTAGCTTGTGGTAGAAGAATATGTCATGTCAAGAGGTAGAGAACAGTGGCAGTACACTGCTTGTGTGTGTTTCTCTCACATTCAATTTGTACTAGAATTGCTAGATCACTCCAACAGTACTGTGGAGGTTCACAGGCTACAATTGGATGATACAATACATAAGCTTCTACTACTAGATATACTAAACTCATTCCCTACCAAGGCCCCATGGACTTGCTCGGCCTCTGCCTTGAATGTTCTTCCTCCAGAATGTCTCAAGGCTGTCTCTTATCATTCAGCCTAAATGTCATTTTCATGGAGAGCCCTTCCTCACGCATGCTATGTAAAGTGGTATTCCCACACTCACCTTTTATCTCATTTCATGATTTTATTTTCTTTGTGACATTACCACGACCTGAAAGACACTTGTGTATTTATTATCAGTCCTTTCTTACAAGACTATAAGCTCCAGGAGGGCAGACATTATTTATTACTCTATTTTCTAGAATATAATCGTAGACCCTGAATAAACATTGCTGCTATAACTGAATGGCCAACAGATATTTATCATCATCTTATAATGCCAGCTCTGTTCTAGGCACTGGGGATTTAGCAATGCACCAAGGAGACAAAAGTCTCTGAATTCTAATTCAGAGAAAGAGACAGTCAACAAATATGGCAGGGAAATATGGCTGGATCTATAGGGTAATCAAGAAAGGTAACCTGAAGAAGCCTGAGAGGGGACGCATCTGAACATGAGAGGAAGGTATATGGGGGAGGCAATGACTCTTGAGGCAGAGGGAAAGAGACAAAGGTCCTAAGAAGGCTTGAAGGGAGCTTATGGCTATAGCCCATGAGCTCTTGGGAGAGTGGCAGCTTGGGCCAGGGAGGTGTGGCTGGGACAGCTCCAATCAGGGAAAGGGAAGGAAACCTAAAACTTGAAAGTGTTTGCTGTGTCCACTGTAGAGGGGCTAATAAAGTAACCTTAAACTGACAGTGGCCAATGTGGGAAAGTGACCAGAAATAGTGAAGAGGTCTGGTAGAGATGAACCAGTTTGGGTTGTAATACACATGTGCATGGAAGCAATGCTAGGAATCTCTGTGTACACACATCTTTATCTCAAGTTCGCAAAAATGCTATGTCTTTCTTATTATTTCTTATGTTTTCTTTTCAATAAAATTGGAGAAGAGAGCAGAAAAGGTTCTGCCTGGAAGCGAGGTTGGGGGTGGGGGGTAAGAGAAAAGGGAAGCAGAGGGCAGGGGGGAGAGATGGCCCAAACAATGTATTCACATATGAATAAATGTATAAACAATTTAAAAAAAAGTCTTATATGCCATTGAAAAACTGATTTTTGCTCTTAAATGAGATGGGAAGCCACTATAGGGCCCTGAGCAGAGTGACATATCTGACTTAGGTTACAATAGGATCCCCACTTTTGTTCTTTTGATAAAAGACACGGCTGGAAGGAGACAGGATAGAAGAAGTTAGGAGACCAATGCAATAATCCAGGCAAGAGGTGAGGGAGGTTTGGTCCAGTGATAGGGAGATGATGAAATCTGTTAATAGTCTAGAAGGACCTTGCAGGGAGAGCTGATAGGAACTACTGATACAATGAACATAACAATAATTAAAAAATATGTGCAGGTGTGCCAGTGGCTCATGCCTATAATCCTAGCTACTCAGGAGGCAGAGATCAGGAGGATCAAGGATCTAGGCCATCCCCGGCAAACAGTTTGTGAGACCCTGTCTTGAAAGAACCCATCACAAAAAAAAGGGCTGGTGGAGTGGCATAAGTGGCAGAGCACCTGAATTCAAGCCCCAGTGTGGCTAAAAATAAAAAAAAGTGCAGAATTGATACAGAGAAGGCTTTTCTTGGATTTATAGAAATGAGACTGGTTTTGTCAGGCCTATGACACTACTATAAGAAATAGCACAACCACCCAGAAATTCAGGATTGGAACTTGGAAATTTTGTGTCACCTATAATTTCTTCCAATGAACAATACAAAAAAAGAGTGGTGAAATATATTTGGTATTGAAGTCTGTACTTGGAATTAAGCGAGCTGGTTTGGGGCTTGATCTTATTTCAGCTCACTGACATGAGTGCGATAATTGTTCAGCAGACATAAACATTTCAAAACGAAAATGACACTTTTCCATGAGAAGACTGTAAAGCTCACTGCATAGTTACACAAAGGGGTAAACACTGTTATCAAGAACAAAGATCTTGCCTGATTTATCCTGATTGATGGCCTGTTCTCTAGACAGATCTGATAACTGCTTAGATAGATCTTGGACCCTTTGCCTCTTGGACTGCACTGAAAGCACTTTGGAGGTGTTTCAGCCTTGCATTCTTCACTAGCTGGAACCTAGCAAATCACAGGTGCACAACAAACATTAACAGATCCTATGAGCTCTCAGTATCCTCCACTGTTCTGGTCTCTGTGAATCACTGAAGTGGCTTTTTTTTTTTTTTTTTTTTTTTACCATTTCAAATTTAGCTTCAGAAAGGAGAAAATACTCAACTTCAAAGTAAGAATTAAGTTGTAAAGACAAATTAAAAATAATGTTAAGTATTAAGACTGTTACTTTGAATAAGTTACATGACAGACCTTCATGTTGAGCACCACAGAGTAAACTTCAAAAAGTATTTGCTTCATAAACACTTTCATTTATGTAAGTAGGATGGCTTTCTTAATAAGATCTCTACGTACAATTTACATACAGTTATTTCACCAACTTGATAAGGCTTTTTTTAGTACAGGGATGATACTGCTTTAAGTTCCTGTATCGAACTGGACCTGAAGCCATTTCCACTTTTCCTATATGGGAGCCAACATAAACTATTTATTTATTTATTTGGAATTAGCATATATTACTACTACTAGGGGGTTTCATTGTGATAATTCCATAGTTGTGTACAGTGTACTTTGAGTAAGTTCACCCCTCCATTATATTCCCATACCTCCTCCCTTTTTTCGAGCAGTGTTTGGTGGGTTTGATTTCACTGTCCTCATATGTATAGTGCATCCACCCTCTTCGCCCTCAGAATCCTTTCCTTTCCCCTTCCCCTCTCTCGCACCCTTCCCAGTCCCCCTTTTGCATTCATGTCCTATTTTTATTGTCCTGTGATGCACTTATTTATTTACCAAACTCAGCGATCACTCTTAACATGAATTTTTAGAATGTGTGGAGCACAAAGGCACGGCGTTTGTTAGTGAGCAATCCGACCGACCGCCCAATCTGCCTAGGAGACCCAGGAAGGCATCCCTGCAGGCGTCCTGTGGGCTGCAATCTGATCTGTGAATGCGATGTGCAGCGAGCAGGAGGAATTAGAGGACCACAGCTGATCTTGAAGCAGGCCTTCGAATACACAAAAGTGTCTCCCTGAAATCAGAGCGGACCTGGAAAGACCGAGGTGAGCGGGAGAGCAAGGACACCTGGACCTTTGGGTGGGTGGTGATGGTGATGGTGGTGGTGGTGGCGACGGGGGAGCTGAAAGGTTTTAGAAACTAGATTAGGTCGGAGTTTTCTGGCGCTACCCACTGATGGCTGAAAGGAATCCGTGGCTTTAGGATCCCCTTTCCTTCTCTCTGGCCTGGAAGGCCCGGAAGAAAGGGGGCTGCCTCGATTGCTTTCGTGGGGACAAGCCCCCAAACCACACCTTTTCCCATCCAAGTTTTCCCGTAGCCATTTCAGTTTATTGCTTCCTATTTTGAGCAATGAGTTTGACTCTGCACCCAGAAAACACACCATCAGAGAGCGTCCTACAGCAGGATGTTCAGCTTCGTCTATTTACTCTGGGGATTTTCCGAGGCTACACGGCAGCAATGAGAACAAAATTTGACTGCTTCGGGCTGGGGGCAGCCCCTTTGTCCTTCCAGATCTTTGGGTGTCTTTCCAGAACTTCCAGGGACACTGGAATCCTCTAGGGCAGTGCTGCAGCTGCACTGTTGGAAAGGTCAGTTCTGGAGACAGCCAGGCCGGAGGCAGCCACGCATTTCCACTTCTCTGGGCTGGGGACGCCAGAAAGTTTACATCCTCTTCAGAGTCCCAGGGTGCGGTCAACAGGGGAGGGGGCGCAATGACTGTCCCTCTAGAGAACAGCGGTCCTGCGAAGCTGCCTGTCTGGCTCGATCCATTTCGGGAGCGGGAGAAAGTTGGGCGTGAGCTTGCGTGGGGGACCGGCGGGCAGGAGCAGGTCGCCCCCTGGTGCGCGCGAGCCTGGGTGGAGCCATCGAGCGGACGCCGCGTCAGCGTTTAAGATGCAAATGGATTCCGCGCTCCCCCTCCCCCGCCCGGGGCTCGGTCCCGCCGCCCCGCCGCCGCCCCCGCCTCCTGTGCGCCGTGGCGCCCGAGCGAGCGGGCGGCTCTACTTAAGCGGCGCGCGGGCCGCGACCCGCCACTCGCCTGGAGCGCGCGGGCGAGGCAGGCGCAGCGCACCGGGGCTCACGGGGGCGCACAGCGGCGCTCGCACCGCGCGGCTCTTGGCGGCCGGGGCGCAGGGCTCCGGAAGAGGCGGCTGCGGCTCCTGAGCGCGGTCCCGTCCCCGCCACCCGCCACCTCTTTGCCATGGCTCTGGCGGACAGCACACGAGGACTACCCAACGGGGGCGGCGGCGGGGGCGGCAGCGGCTTGTCGTCGTCCTCCACGGAGCCGCCGCTTTTCCCCGACATCGTGGAGCTGAACGTGGGGGGCCAGGTGTATGTGACCCGGCGCTGCACCGTGGTGTCGGTGCCCGATTCGTTGCTCTGGCGTATGTTCACGCAGCAGCAGCCTCAGGAGCTGGCCCGGGACAGCAAAGGCCGTTTCTTTCTGGACCGGGACGGCTTCCTCTTCCGCTACATCCTGGATTACCTGCGGGACTTGCAGCTCGTGCTGCCCGACTACTTCCCGGAGCGCAGCCGGCTGCAGCGCGAGGCCGAGTACTTCGAGCTGCCGGAGCTCGTGCGTCGCCTCGGGGCGCCCCAGCAGCCCGGGCCCGGGCCGCCGCCGCCGCACTCCCGGCGCGGGGTGCACAAGGAGGGCTCGCTGGGCGACGAGCTGCTGCCGCTGGGCTACGCGGAGCCCGAGCAGCAGGAGGGCGCCTCGGCCGGGGCGCCGTCGCCCACGCTGGAGCTGGCTAGCCGCAGCCCGTCCGGGGGCGCGGCGGGTCCGCTGCTCACGCCGTCCCAGTCGTTGGACGGCAGCCGGCGATCGGGCTACATCACCATCGGCTATCGCGGCTCCTACACCATCGGGCGGGACGCGCAGGCGGACGCCAAGTTCCGGCGGGTGGCGCGCATCACCGTGTGCGGCAAGACGTCGCTGGCCAAGGAGGTGTTCGGGGACACCCTGAACGAGAGCCGGGATCCCGACCGGCCCCCGGAGCGCTACACCTCGCGCTATTACCTCAAGTTCAACTTCCTGGAGCAGGCGTTCGACAAGCTGTCCGAGTCGGGCTTCCACATGGTGGCGTGCAGCTCCACGGGCACCTGCGCCTTTGCCAGCAGCACCGACCAGAGCGAGGACAAGATCTGGACCAGCTACACCGAGTACGTCTTCTGCAGGGAGTGAGCTCCCCAGAACCCTCGCCACTCCTGCGCCCGCTTCCCTTCCTCCATGCTGGGGAGATGATTCTAGATCCCTCGGCCCAGTCCCTTGGTTCCTCCTGCCCCCCTCCAGTAGCTGCTCCTGATCAGCCCCCGTGCCCTCCTTCAGAATCAGCAGCCACAAATCCTCCGGGCTTCTTCATCTTGTTATGGGACCCCGCTAACAGAGCTCTCAGACGTAGCCCTCCACCCATGCTTCCTCTACTCTTGGCCTCACCCCCCCCCCTCCCCTGTACTTCAATCTGGATCTAGTAGGGCAGTGTGGGCACAAAGTCACCAAGTACCTGGTAATGACCAAATTGTTCAGAACCTGATTGGACGGTGTCCGGTGTAGAAGATTCTTTGAAATCTTCTCAAGCCCTTGTGACTCATTCGCAGTGTTAAGAGATCAGAACTGATAACGCTGTCCTGGAGACAGTGTCTTAAAAGGTCATTACATTCTTTTCTGATCACCATTAAAGGTAGAGTTTTAGAAGACTGAATGGAAGACTCTGATGCTGGAATTAAGGCCCCTTGGAGGCAGCTCAGTGACTGTAAATGGAGCTTTGAAAAGTTAACAGGTAGAAGGAGAAGATAGAGAAGGATCGCGTCTTTCCCACACAGATCATGTCTTCGCCTGCTTAAACTTGTAGAAAGTGATCCTCCTGCCTGCAGAGGCGCCCTTTTTCCTGGGCTGTTTGCCAGAGCTCTTGGTTCCATTGGTTGGTATGGCAGCCCTCTCTGGCAAGAGGGAGAAGAGACGCTGCCTCTTAAGAGGCAAGGCTGCCCAGCTCTTCAAACTCTGTGGGAAGCCACCTGGCAGTGACTAAGTGTAGCTGGATAGTAATGCACGTCGTGGGCAGTAGGACCATACAGCCATTAGATCTAAGACTTAGGGGGGTGGGGTGGGAGGGAGGAAAGAGGGGAGGAAGGGTGGGAAGGGAGGAGCAGATATACTCATCTATTATTTCAAAGTTGGAAGTTTGTACCATCCGTTTGAGTACGTGCATATTTAAAAAATAGCAAACAGTAAATGCAAACTTGCATCTTATCAAAATCAGTAATAGATCTATTCTCAACTGACAGTTGTTTTGAGTCCTAAACTTATGTTAATATTAACCAAAGAGTTACCCAGTAGGGTTTTAGTTATTTGAACTTTTCTTGTTGATTATAAATCCTGATTTTGGAATCTGTTTACTTGAGCAAAGTAAATTTTTGATTTTTGGTTACTTAGACTTAAAATCTCTTGCTAAGAATCCTTATTTTCTCCTGAAAACCTGAACAATGCCACTCCTTTCATAGAGTTTTTTTGAAGCAGTCAGTGGAATCTTTTCAGATGACAGAGCTGCAGAGAAATATAAGCACGAGGGCTGCCCATCTATTGATAACTGTAAAATGGAATATTTTTAAATGAAGGCAAATGAGTACTTAAACATGAGCAGAGCAATAAAATGGCGTTTTAGGTAAATGCAACAGAAACAGGAGACCTGGTTGCCTTATGCCTTTACTCTCACCTGGAATAAATTCCCAGTGTATGTCCTGCATACACTGTAAGTGAAGGGGAGGAATCCTCTTCATGCTTCTTGCTGTGAGGCATCCTTTGGATAGTCGATGATGATGGAGAAGCCTTTCTAGTTTTTTGTTTGTTTTAGCATCTTTCTCTGAAATATGTTTTTATAGATTTTGTAAGAGTCTTTTTCAGTGTTTAAATTAGTGCTATTTTTCCTTCCTCTTAAAAATGAATCTTGTACTGTATCTTACTATGTCCATAACAGATGTTAGGAGTTGAAACAGTTTTACTCATAGACTCATATGATTTAATCTGTATATACCATATATAAACATTTTACATGAATCATTTAGTTTTTTAATTCATTTATTAATGCTAAAAAATTTCCTGTATTTACCCCTAGTAACTTGTATTGGATGGTGTATACTAAAGCTACATGTTTTGATGAGTTTCTTATATCCTTGTCTGTGGGGAACTTGGGTCAGGAGAAAATATAAGGGTTTACTTCCTCCCTTTTTGCTGGACTATTGTATACTAATCCATTAGCTGTCTACCTAAAGCCAAGGTACCTGCATTTTTTAATCCACTAACTTTTCATTTTAACTGGAAAAGAGAAAGATTTAAGGGTTTTTTTAAAATTAGAGTTACATTTTTAGAAAAGTTAGCTTTATATACAAAGATTAATTTTAAGGAAAATGGAAACAGAAATCTGGGAAGTTGTGTTTGCTTGAGTTTGTTCTCAGAACTTACCTTTGTTTAAGCCTAAAATTACTTTGGATTGTCACTCACTGGTCAAAAGTGAGTGTGATAGAGATTTCTCCACCCCTGTGGCATTCTGTTAGATTGCTCAACAAAAAGCATGTGATTGGGAACATCTTTAGGACAGATCAAGAACATGGACAGATGGCAAAACTCAGTGATTCTGATTTCCCTCCATAAGTCTGCACAATTCCAAGAGCCAGTAGAAACTGCTAAACTTTTGTGTCTGCCACTCAAGTCTTATGGACTGTATTTGTCAAACTTTGAGTTGAACTATCCTGCTGTGTTACATGTAAGAATCTTACTCTCCTCCTCCTTCTGCACCCCCAGGCCTTCCTGCCCTGCACCCCCTATTATTTTTAAGACTGGGAACCTAGTCTTAATGGGCAGTGAACTGACTGCCTTAATCTGACTTGAGAGGCACATATTTACAGATGTTGCTCAAATTACCATATCATGTTGATAAATATAATCGAATGACAGACATTTAATGACTAATTTGTAAAACAGGAATTGCTGACAGTGGTGGTTAAAAAAACAGGTACCATGGTCCATGTTTTTGCAACAAATGTTTGACAGGTTTGTTTTTTGATTCATGTAAACTATGAACCACATTCATTCTAACTTTTCAGACGATATATTGTAGAAAATATTCCTTGAAGGTGTGAGACTTAAAATTTTTCCCCTTTCAATACTGTTTTTATTCTTGTGTTCTTATTTGGCTTTTTGGATTGATAGAAAAGTGTTAATTTATAGTACTAGCTAAAACTGTCTTCTCTTTCAAACCAGACCCATATTTATATGGGAGACTGCTGCTTCTCTGAGAGGATGCATTGTATGCAAACGCTCAGTCCATTAGGCAACTGGCAGTACTTACATTCCGACATTTATTGGAATTTCCCATTGAATGTTATTATATTAAAGCCATGTAAGGCAAAGCTTTGATAATTTTTTACTCTTCAGGTTACAGTAAATTCCAATCTAATACTCAAATCATTTTTGTACTTGTACATGACTATTGGTAAATTGTAGCACAGACATTTGGAAAAGCATTGACTGGAGATGAGTTCTTTAAGAATTTCTTTAATAGTCTAGATCACAAATACTTAGATAAATTGACTTAAGTTTTTAGAATAGTAAACTGAGTATTTTTATTGTTAACCAATCAGAGTTAATATTCTGTTTGGAAGTTTTCTCCTGATTTACCTTACTATGAATCATTTAAAACCTAGATTTCTTTTTTTAGATGACCCAAGTCTGTCTCTTGAGAAGTGAATAAAATATAGTAGTATTTAGAGTCTGTAGGACCTGAAATAGATTTTCTTATAGCCAGAAACAAGTTACTTTGTAGTCAACTTTCTTTGTCAAAGTTTTGGACAATAAAATTCTAAAAGTACTAATACTTAAGGATTTAGATTCTCTGCTGGGTCCCTTAAAACTTAGATGGAAGAAATTCAACCAGAATATCAACATTGGAATGTAATCTTTGTGTTAGGAAGAAAGACTAGTTAACCAGAATTCTTGCCACTTAAATGTTTTATGATTTTTTTTTCCAAGCCAATTTTTAAAAATTCTAAGTATGTTTTTAGGTATGTGAACATTAATTGTAATGTAAACTATTATACAACTGTCTTTGTGACTTTATAGGAAGTAAATTTTGCTATAACTATTGAACACAAGTGATGAGAATTCACTTATTACCACCATTACTAGCATTTAATGACAAAGGGTTAAAACATTCATTATGGATATGAATTTTGAAGATGTAAATTATATATATTTAAAATTTTTCTGGGCACCTGAATAACTGTTACTTGCTTAATAATATAAGACTGACAGAACTACCTGGGATTCTGAGATTGTTTAAAAATGTTGTTTGTTAAGTGATAGATATCACTGAGCCATTTCCTCAAAATGGAAAGGATGAGGGAAAATATTGTGATTATCAGAATTTTCTAATGAAACAGAAAGCCAAGGAGAAAAAAAAAAAGCCCTCTATATTTTAAGAAACACACTGATGAAGTCTTTTCAGAGGTGCCCAAGCTTTGAGAATTTCTGTAGCCCTCTAAATGCTCTAGAGATTTTTGTTCTTGTTCACAACCAGTTGTATAACAGAAATACTTGATACTGTTTTCCTCCCTGTGTGTGAAGTAATGAATCATTGATTATGTGACTATTAAACACTAAAGAATAAAACATTCACTCCTTTAATAATTCCTCTTGGCTCCTTGGTATGGATTGGCCGAAATGTTGGTCTAATTTCATTTAGGAACTTCTCTAAATGCTGAGAATGCTTTCCAAATTGTTTTGTGGCCAATGGTGAACACTGGGCCACCAGAAGAGGTCCTTGCTGAGTATTGGCCAACTGGGCCAGGTATGAATAGGTTCTTTCTCCAGCATTCATTGTCAAGAACACTCAGGCAATTTGGTACTCACTGTGGAAGAAAAGTCCTTCACAAGCTTTTTCTTTAACCCCAGTCTTTGCACCCACTATTGTGAATATGGGGAATATAGGTAGAAATTTCCTTTTAAAGTGTGTAGGGACAAGGAAATAGAAGCTGCAAAACACACCCCAATTAAAGTACAATTCATGAAGATAAGGTCCCAAGGAATGTGACAGAGACTAGCATTTTCCATGTAGGAGCTCCTTACTGAATCATCTCCAGCCTTTTAAGTTCCTCCTCTCCAAAGAGCGCAGCGACACTCAGATTGGGAAGTCAGAGACCAGGGTCTGCTGGGCGCTGGCACAGGAAGCTAGAAGTCGGGCGGTTAGAGGCTTCGCCCTTCCTCTTTTATTTTGCCTGTACTTCCTCTGGACAGCTTTTGTTTTGTATATATAAACACACATTTATTTTTTGAAAATAAGAGGCATGGTGAAAATTTAAGCAATACAACATGTATCTAATAAAAAAGAAAATCTCTCTCTTCTATTAGACCCTAGTTTTTGTCAGGGGTGCATGTTTACAGAGACCTTGTACACATACACATTCCCAGCCCCCTTTTCCGTCATAGCAATTATGCCCATTATAGGCCTTGGCGCCTTGTTTTAATGGCACGGCCAGGACTTTTTGCAGTGCATGAACATGTAACAATGACATAGCTCATTTTATTTGCTAGCTGTGATATTCCGCAAGGTATGCCATTGTTAGATGTGTTATTTGTTTCACCAGTCTTTTATTAATAGACATTTTAGTTCTCAGATTTTTTCCACTCTAACAAATGCTGTATAAAAAACTGTTTTCTACATATATGCAAATATGTCAGAATATAACTTTTTTGCATAAAATAATGTTAAGATGGAAATGACCTAGAGGTAGTTTTTCCTTCTTTAGGGACTATGGAAACACAGAAGGTCTTTGACTTATGGTTAACTTGTAATTTCTTTATTATCATATAATTTTTTGTCTTTATGATGGCATAAAAGCAGTACATACTCAGTAGAAACCATATTTTGAATTTTAAAAGAACTGCTTTTTTGGAAGTACTCTGGTTTGAACTCAAGGCTTCACGCTTCTCAGGCAAGCACTCTCACTCTACCTCTTGAGCCATGCCCTCAGCCACTTTTGCTTTTAGTTTTATTTTTTTTTCCAGATAGAGCCAAAATACACCTTTCTTTCCACTTA